ATTTTATTTTGGCTTTATTTCAATTAACAGAAACAGTATTTCATAGTTTTGGTTTTAGTTACCATTTAACAACACTGCTTGATTTCAGCTTTATTTCAATTTACGAAAACTATTTTTTAATAGTTTTAGTTTCAGGGTATGTTTACATGACAGTGATGTACTAAAAACGGAAAAGTTTTGCATACAATGCCAACGTTGTGAAAATGATCCCTGTTAAACATGGATCTGCGAAAACCACTAAAAACGTTGTATTATGCATGCCAGGCCAGTAGTTGGCGATACCACTTTGTAAAGAAACACTGTGTACCTATGGACTCAACACGTAATATGCATGCGCAAGATGTCACTATTTTCACAAATTCCCGTTTTCGTAGTTTACTCCGATATGATAACGTTATTGTTATCAAAAATTTGAACTTTGAAACCCTTTTTTTGCAGTTTGCCTTTTCAAGCCCTCAAATTGCCACTGCTGAACAGCCAAAATGAATAAAAAGTTTTCCATTTTTAGTTAAAAATGGTGTCGTGCAAACAACCACTTAACACTGCTTTAAAAATTCTCCTTTTGTGTTCAATGGAAGCAAGAATAAGTAACACAGGGTTTCGAACAAAAATAAATGGTGAGTAAATAAAGGCAAACTTTTCACTATCCCTTTAAAAATCCTCTCAGCCTACATTTTTCCTTTATATCCATCAGTGCAATCAGTGTCTCTTGTTTTAATCTCAGCCTCAGTGTCGTTTCCAGTTTGAAGCACAAAAGAAAGAACAAAACAGCCAGAAAAATAATTTGGCATCTCTTAAAATATGCCTCCATCCCTTCTCTTCCAGAGCGCCGTGGAAGGTTCTCTAAACTCATAGACAGATTAACAATGACATGTTTATTTTCTCTGTAAAACAGCATTTGGGTTTACAACCACCCGAGCACTTTGGGCTCATGGTGATTGATTTAGCAGTAATAAGGAGTCTGTTTCGCCCATTTTATTACATGAGAAATTGTTTTCTTTCTTCTGGGACTGAATGGAGACACTGATTGATTTTGCCGTGCGAGCGTGATTGCAGCTAATTGGTCTCATTGGTTCTGCTGTGCGATCCGTGATTGTGGGTAATGGGTCTGATTGGCTCTGTTGTAGAAGTGCGATTGTGGTCAATGAATCTGATTGATTGTGATTGGCTAGAGTTTTCACAGGGGTCAGGGTTTGCCTCTGCTGGTAGAGTTTATAACTACACCATGTTGTACTTACTAGACCAAGCTAACCAACCCATAATCTCATTAGTTCTGTTGTATAAAATGGCTAATTAATCTGATTGTCTGTATTGCATAAGCACAATTATGACTAATGAATCTGATTGGTTGTGTTGTACGGAGATTGGATTGTGGGTAATTGGTTTGCATGTGGAATTTGGTTGCATTTTTTCCAGCCTTCCTCCTTTAAACAAATGACTTCTCAACACAGCTATAGTATAGTAAGGTTGAATTGGTCTGACCTTTGTGTTAAAGCCTGCTTTCTCATTTACTAAAGTGTGAAACTTGTCGTTCTTTCACACTGAACTTTAGTCATGGCTAAATGAACATTTCCCAATTAAAAAAAAACAAACTTTTATTGGCATTCATTTTATCAAACCAAGTGGTATTGTTAAACTGCAAGTGGTTTTTCCATGTTTTTAAGTGCATTTTAAGATCTGATCCTACATCAATCCATCTTTTAGTAGGAATAGTTCACCTAAAAACGAAAAAGCAGAAACATGCACTTTTCCAAGCATGCCTTTCCCAATGAGAAGACTAAAATTTTAGGCTGTTATCCAAAACCTTCTGCAAAACTTGTATTTGCATCAGTGTTGAGATGCAAAAAATGGTGTGTCCAAGCGGCTTGCCATATTTGATGTTGTTGATACCAAATTGCATTGGTCCATGCATGTGTCATTACTAAACTGAATTGAAAAAATTACATTTTAGTACTTTGAATAATGGATTAATAACTTTAATTTCAGTCTGTTCCTCACACGAAAGTATGGAAGCCCATTTCCACCACAAAAAACAAAATGAAAAAGTAAGTGTGACTCATTTCATAATTCTGACTTTTTTTCTTGCAATTGCGAGTCTACACCTTGGAATTCTGACTTTTTTTCTTAGAATTGTGAGAAATAAACTTGCAATTGCGAGTTACAGAGTTTTTCTGGCAAATGTGAGTTTGTATCTCGCAGAATCTGACTTTTTTTCTCAATCTCACAATTCTGAGATAAAAAAAAATATATTTTTCTCATCATTTTGACTTTATATCTCGCAATTCTGACTTCATAATGCGATTGCGACTTTATATTGTGCAATTCTGAGAAAAAAGTAAGAATTGCGAGATAAACTCACAATTACGAGAAAAAAAGTCAGAATTGTGAAATAAAAAGTCGCAATTACCTTTTTTATTTTGTATTCAGTGGCGGTAACAGGCTCCCATACATAACTCTCATATGGATTAAAAAGGCTTGAAATGCTGTGCTTCAGGGTGCATTTCGCCTATCAATTCGTGTCGATAAAGTATAATAGGGTAAATCCTGTATAGTGATTTATCCTATATAGTGCTTGCATAAAGCAAGTAGTGCATACACTTGTAGCTGTTATGTATCTTTGTAAGTCATTGTAAGCTTTCTTTTGAGGCATGCGCAAGCGCATGAACACCCCCTCCTCCCCGTTATAAAAAAAAAAACAAGTGGGCTCCCCCAAAGTCCACGGTATAGTTCGAACACTGCTGTGCTTAAGTCATATAGACTGCTTTGAGGGTTTATTTATAAGCTCGTGGGCATTATGAGCAGTCACTGCATGTAAAAAACTGTGTGAAGTTGCATCTAAATACATATTTTTGTGTTATGTAGAAGTTAGAAAGCCATTTGGAATGGCTTGAGGTTGAGTAAATGATGATAGAAATTAAATTATTGGGTCTTCGGGACTGGGCATTCGGACAAATGGGTTTCTGACTTTAAATGTTGTTGAATGCATCATTTTCCTTCCTTTCACTGGCCTCAGCGTGAGATCTGATGAATGGTGTGTTTTATAGTATTAGGGCTCTTAAGAAAAAGGACCAATTCTTCTTCTTTTCTCCGCAGCGGGGACACTTCAGTAATGAACAAGCACTTTGGGTGCCGTACTAAACTCCTAAAAGCTTTGTACTGTAAACAGCATGTGAGTAATTTAATGGCTAATGCCACCATAAAGAACGTCCACCGCTTCCCTGCAGCATCAGCAGAGAGATTCCTGCATTTGTAATGAAGAAGTGAAGGACGTCTGTGGATTCTAGAGTGAAAACTAAGGTTTCAGCTTCATTAGATGTCGGTTCGAGTGTTGGCCGACAAGTGCTCAAATGAAACGGTTGCCATTTCTTACCAGCAGCATTGAGGAGACTCTGTGGAAACTGGCTCGGGATTGCTGGAGCTCTAACCCTGTAATAAGCTCTAGTCTCCTGCTTTGATGGGCATCCGTTTCCTCACAGCAGTGAGACAGAACTGTACTGTGAAGACAGATTTGACTGTTCAAACCGTGTGGAATCACAGCCGAGGCCAAACAGTTTTGTAGTTATTTTGATTTTGCACAACACACCCTCATGTTCAACACATACTTGCCAAAGAGCTCTTAGAATGTACTGCATAATTTGATTTATGGCTGGGCGGTTTGTCTTGGGCCTGTAAGAAACCACTTAATAACCACCCGGAGCTCCCTAGCAACCACTCAGAACACCTTAGCAGCTGCATAGCAATGCCTTGGCAACCACTCAGAACACCTTAACAACTGCATAACAATACCCAGGCAAATGCCCAAAAGAGTTTAGCAATTGCATAGCAATGCCATGGAAACCATCCAAAACACCTTAATATGTGCATGGAAACTCTCTGGCAACCACTAAAAACGTATAGTAATGTCCTACATAGCAACGTCCTGGACACCTTAGCAACTGCATAATATTGCTCTGGCAACCACTCTAAGCATCAAATCAACTGCATAGCAATGCCCCGGTAATCATCCAAAACACCTTATCAACTGCATTTTAACTCCCTGCCAACCACACCAAACCACCTTAGCAACACCCTGACAACCACTCAAAGGATTTTAGAAACTGCACACAACACCCTGGCAACCATTCAGAGCATCTTTAATAACTGCATAACAACACTCTGGCAACCACTCAAACCACCTAAGCAACACCCTGGCAACCACTCAAAGCATTTTATAAACTGCCTAGCAACACCCTGGCAACCAGTCAGAGCATCTTAGAAACTGCACAGCAGCACCTGACCAACCACCCAAAACACCTTTGTAGCTCCCTGGGAACCACTCTAAACACCTTAGCAACTGCATAGCATCACACTGGCAACCATTCAGAGCATCTTAGAAACTGCATAACAACACCCTGGAAACCACTCCAAGCATCTTAGAAACTGCACAGCAGCACCTGGCCAACCACCCAAAACACCTTAACAATTGCATAGCAACACCCTGGGCAATTATTAATCACATTTTAGCAACGCCTTAGCAACCACCCACATCATCCTAGCATCATGTTGAGTTTTTCGTGAACATGACTTTGAAGACCATCATGGGTTAGAGTCTTATACGTTCTGATGAAGAAGAGTATTAGAAGATGGTCCTTTGTAACCATGACATCCTTATTGACCTTTATCAGGACAGAATGTGTTTTGTTGTCAGGCTAAAGCGATATGCTGCAGCAGCAGCTCGACTGCAGGAAATGCCAAAGCGCTGCTGAAGGATCCTAATGTTGAGTTTGGCTTCGGTCCCAGAGGTCACAGCAATATGAGATGCTGCAGGCCTCACAATCGCGTCTGAACTGGGATCAGCTCTGACCAGTTTTTGGGTGGAATTGTGAAATGAGTTTGCTCTGCCATGCTGGATCAGCAGCTTTTCGCTTGACTGTTTCTATTTACTCGCCCGAGGTGAAAACATGTGTCGGTTTTTCTCCAAATAGCGACTCGAAGACTCATGATTTCCTTTCTCTCAGCAGATGTGGACGAGTGCGCCGAGGCCCTGGACAGCTGCAGTATGGATGCCATCTGTCAGAACACCCTCAAGTCATACAAATGCATCTGCAAATCAGGATACAAAGGCGACGGAAAGCACTGTGAAGGTGAGAAACGCTTACTAAGAGAAAAAAAAAATGCAGGACAAATGAGTTCAGAATAGAAAGGCTTGATTGCTGTAACTGAAAACTGAATTACTTATACTTAGATTCCCCCCTTCTATGTAAAGCGATTTGAGTGCCCAGAAAAGTGCTATATAAATGTAATTATTATTATTATTATTATTTTCTCTTGAAAAAGTAAGGGATTACTCAAATTTTTTTGTAATTTAATTACAGTTACTTTTTATGTAATTGCATTAAATACTGTATAGACTATAGAACAATTCTATATAAAACTAGTGAATTTATCAATAGGGCCTTTCGCACCGCGGGAACCTTTTCATAGTACCAGAACTAATTGTGGAACTACCCACTTTTTGGCGTTTTCGCACCGCCGGAACTGGGTGCGATTTTAGTACCGGACTGCCTTTTTCGAGAACCAAATTAGCTCCTACTCCGGAGAAGGGTCTAACCAGCACAACTGGTACTAATCGTGACGTAAGTACCCTCTGGGCAGCGAAAGTCCCGGCGCGGTCCCTTTAGGCAGGTGATGTCTACCATGGTAGTCCAGGAGTGCCATCTCTGGCTGAACCTGGCTGAGATGCGGGACACCGACAAAGTCCGCTTTCTTGACACCCTGATGGAAGATGGAAGGGGTTGCTCTTTTGGGGCCACTAACATCTGGGACTGGGCTGGGGGCATTCACCACCATTGATGCCTGTTCAGTCGCTCACCCCTCGGTCAGCGGAACCCACATTCTTAGTAAAAGAGCAATTTCCTTCATCTCTGGGTCTCATGTGTCGAGATCTGTCTGTGAGCGACGCTCTGCTTCCTTACTGTCAGTCTCGACACAGTGTATCGCCACTCAAGAGGTTGTGGTTGCAGGATGCTCTGCTTCCTCATGCTTCCCTTGCTATCTCTCCGCAGGATCCAGGGAGAGGCGCAAGGAGATTAAATACTCCCAGATAACGCCTCGTTCCCACTTGGTCGCGCTCACATACATCATACAGGGTTGGGGACCTGCAGGCATTTTTGATCAATGAATCGTGCCTTGAGTTTGGGCCGGCTAATTCTAACGTTATCATGAGGCCCAGGCCCGGTTATGTGCCCAAAGTTCCGACCACTCTCTTCCAGGACCATGTGGTGAACTTACAAGCGCTGCACCTTGGAGGAGGCAGATCCACCCGTTGTGTTGCTGTGTCCTGTTCGCGCTTTGTGCATTTACGTGGAATGCACCCAGAGCTTCAGAAGCTCTGAGCAGCTCTTTGTTTGCTTTGGAGGACAGCAGAAAGGGAAGGCTGTCTCTAAGCAGAGGTTGGCCCACTGGCTAGTGGATGCCATTGCCTTGGTGTACCAATCTCAAGGTGAGCTGTGCTCCCTGGGGTGAGAGGTCATTCCACTCGGAGTGTTGCCTCCTCATGGGATTTGGTGCACGGTGCCTCTCTGGCAGACATCTGCAGAGCTGCGGGCTGAGCACCTTCGTAAGGTTTTAGAATCTCCAGGTGGAGCCAGTTTCCTCCCATGTGTTGGGTATGAACAGGTAATTTGTGGGAGGCCTGCCTCTGTGTCTTGCTTGCGGTGCCATTCCTCTGGTTAGGATACGTGTGCTTATCTTCTTCCAGTACATTCCCATCTGGTGAATCCTGGTCGATTCCTCCAACACCCTGTGGCATTCAGCGGAGGAGTCTGTTGTCACATCCAGTATTTGGGTTGTATGCCATTAGTCACCCCCTTTTACTGGACTTGGTTCCATACATGAGATTCCCTTGGTAATCCTGTATGTTTTTTTTCCATGATATGGTTTCCTTTGGTAAACCTGTGCCTTCCCTAGACAATTTGTTGACTGTCAGTTCCTGTTGTGTTCTCCCGAACTCGGGTCAAGACAGTGCTGTAACCAGTCTTAGTGTTCACATTCCTATTCAGATGTGTCTCTGCATCCAAACGGTTGCTGAAATCTAGAATTGTGAGAGTGTCGGAACAAATTTTTTTTCGGCTTCCCTGGTATGTCCGTGTATTTGATAAATGATCTGGCTTATAAGGCATTAGGTAGGTTATGGATTGAGGTCCATCTGTTCTAACACGCTTGCTTGTCAGCACCTGCACCTTCAATTTTCGTAACACAGTTCTGGTTGTGGCGCTTTCCATCAGGACCCCTAACTTCAGTGTCGACGTAACGTCGATAATGACTGACTGATAGGGAACGTCTCGATTACGTATGTAACCCTCGTTCCCTGAAGGAGGGAACGGAGATGTTACATCTCTCATGCCACAACCGTGAACTGCGCTGAATGCCGGGATGCTTCTTGGCTCCTCAGCACAAACCTGAATGAGTAGATGCATGCTGCCAACTTGTATGTATGAATAGTGGCTTGGGATGCAAATTCCACTCGCCAATTGTCATTGGCCATTTCTTGTAATGCTCAGAGGTGATTGGGGCTCCCAAGTGAGACCCTTACGTCAGTAGGGCCTTTCGCACCGTGGGAACCTTTTCATAGTACCAGAACTAATTGTGGAACTACCCACTTTTTGGCGTTTTCGCACCGCCGGAACTGGGTGCGATTTTAGTACCGGACTGCCTTTTTCGAGAACCAAATTAGCTCCTACTCCGGAGCAGGGTCTAACCAGCACAACTGGTACTAATCGTGACGTAAGTAGACATTGATTGGCCAAACGCGTATGAAAACGCCCTCACCCGCCATTATTTAAAACGCTGTGTAAACATACTGTAAACATTGTGTCAACTTATTTCGCAAGTATGGAGAACAGCGATAGATGGACGGACGCTGAAGTGCAGGCACTTGTAGCACTGTCAGTTGTCGTTGGAGATTCTTAGTCCTCCTTTCCGTTCTTTCAATCGCTTTACGTATACGTCGACTTTCCATGTCCATTATTGTGAAACCCGTGAGACGCAACAAAAACACAGCTCCGATCACAGCGTCTTCCATCCTCCTGTTGTTAATGTTGTTTTTCTTTGTTTCTGTTGTTGAACGCCGCGCACAAATGACGTCGCTGTCGACCGGCTTACGTCACTTCTTAGTACACACTCTCGGTGCGAATGCAACCCTTTAAATAGTACTGGGAAATAGTTCGCGCAAAATCATCCCAGTACTTTAGTACTGTACATTTAGTTCTGGAACTAAAGCGGTGCGAAAGGCCCTATTGAAATTTAACGTCTAATGCAAAAATCAGGGTTGGAAATTAACTGGGGCTTTCCGCAAAAATGCCACAAAAATGAACATAAATGCCCCACAAGTTTAAGATATAAGATAAAAGGGCAAAAATTGCCCCTGCATAATTACAATTAATCTATTACAGCTGTCGCGATAAAAATGAAATGTGAAAAGTGTCAATTAATGACATTTAGAACTGTGCATGTGCATCAGATTTATTTATTTTTTTACAGCGTTGAGTCTTCTAACCAATCACACGCATTTCTGTTGAGCTTATGAATGCGATGGTCAATCAGAGGCATTTAGATTAGTCAACGCTGAAAATGCCGGAGTTTTGTTTGAGTGCGCACTCTCTGACTGACTTAAGCGTACTCGTCAATTGTCATCATAAACAACGAAGTGCAGAAAAGATGTAAGTATTAAGAGACTCATTTTGCAGATTCAGTGATTATAACATTAGTTAACTTGCGCTAGACTGGGCGTGTTTGTCTGTGTAGCTATAATGTGATGTGCAGACGTTTTACGTTCTATATGTATTCTATTAACAAACATTAAAAATCATTATTATAATATCAAGAGCAACAATCGATAGCAATGGTGTTTGTCATAATATTACAGCCTTATGAGTTCTATATTCTGATTTACTGAAGTAATTGGTTAAATTTAAGTAGCTGACATTAAACAGAAATACAATACAATGTCTAAATATTCTTAAATCAAGATACATTTACTTGAGAATCAAAATAACTTCAGATATTAAGTCTTGTTTTCTGAAAAATGTAGCAAAATGAAGTGTTCATGCTTAAAACAAGAAAAAAAATAGGGGCAAGGAAAATAAACAATTTAAAAGGGAAAACAAGTGTATTTTTCTTACGTCTTGTCATTTTTGCAGCATTAATATGCAAAAACCAGGAACAGGCATTATAAACTAACAATAGACAATAGACATAATAAAATTAAATACAGTTTCCAAGCTACACACATTAAAATTGCATAGATTTAAAACAAGATAAACGTGTCTGAGATCAAACTGCATAGGAGAATATATATTTAATATGCCTATCAATTTAAGAAGTTCATTTAGTGCAATTAAGTATTAAAGGGGTCATATGATGCTGCTAAAAAGAACATTGTTTTGTGTATTTGGTGTAATGAAATGTGTTTATGCGGTTTAAGGTTCAAAAAACACATTTTTTTCCACATACTGTACATTATTGTTTCTCCTCTATGCCCCGCCTTTCTGAAACATGTCGATTTTTACAAAGCTCATTGGTCTGAAAAAGCGAGGTGTGCTCTGACTAAACCATGTCTGCATTTGTGATCGGAGAAACGACAAACAACAAGCCTACTCTACTCTGCTCAAAACTCGCGTTGTGTCCATTGTTGGAAGGCCAAACAAAGTAGTTTCGCTTTCACAACGAAACAGCGTCACACATGGCGGCCTTGAGTGAGCAGAGGCCGGGGGATAAAGTGAGGAACGGCCGGAGGGCTAGAGTGAGCAGAGGCGGCGGATTCGAAGGAGCGTCCGGAGGGCTTGCGGCAACCATATGTGACGACCCCGTGGTGATCCACAGCCCAAAGGTGTTGTATTTCCTCAGCAACCAGCACGGATCAACTCCAGGCATGACAAAGCAGATATCGTCCTCTTTTGGAAGGCCAAACAAAGTAGTTTCGCTTTCACAACGAATCACACAGCGCCTTCACGACATGGCGGCTTATAAAGAATATCTCTTTGGATTTGAGATTTTAGTCTTTGCAACTTTACAGATCTTCTTTATGCACCAAGAGCTTGTAACACTCCAAGGAGAAAGGAAAAATTGAAATCGCATCATATGA